CTCATTGCATTCAGAGTCTGGCACAACCTATTATGTCAATAAGCATTTAACCAACTATGTATATAAGTATATTTTTATGAATTTGGTCATTATAATAATTCTAAAGGTAAGTCTTGATTATTCCTATAAACTGAAGCTCTGAAATTGTATAACTTTTCTTAAATCACACAGGTTAAAGAAATGGCAGAACTAGGATTCATTTTGCTCTTAGATTCTACATACCTTATTGGGCAAGATGGCTCTTAAAGAATCTTAATTAAACCAGACATTTTGTTTCAGAGTTTTACTGTGAAATTAAATATTGGGTTGTTGAAAAAGTCATGACATGTTTTTCTATGCAAAAATGCACCATGACTTTTATGATGACCCCCAATTTTTAATTCGTGATATTAACTATATGATATAGTGCTTGATTTGAAGACACAACAAAATAAAACAAAAATACTGTCCATATTACATGCACTGAGAAGGTTTAAACAAATTTTGAAATAGACGTTTTTGGGTCATTAAAAACAATGATATTCACAAATGCTTGTGATAGGATGTCAGTGAGAAAAAAGGACTAGAAATTTATGTGTATAAGGTATTAATTATGCAAAATGAATACAAATGGGCTAGAAAGACATAACCTATTTTAGTAATAGTTGTTTCTTCTGGGTGATAATATCATAAGTAAGTTTTTTCTAGTATTTTCTGTACTTGCCCAATTTTCTATGATAATGTATTATTTTTAAAAATTCTTACATAAAATATATTTATTAAATAAGCAATAACAACCAGGAACAAATAATTATTAAAAGACCTCATAATCTTACTTTGATCTTTACAAAATCTATCTAGTGATCTTTAGTCTGACTATACTCTGGTGGCTCAGCTGCTAGTAAGTCTTAACTTCCCAGTGACCACTGCCTAGTTATCTCTGCTTAAAATTAACACACAAACACACACACACATCAAGAAATTGGACTAGCTCTTAGTGCAGTAAATAGAAACTGCAAAGGTAAATAAAGCTGGATTCCAAACGGCTGATCAAGCTTTGAATCCTGGCCCTGGGGGCTTGACAAACATGCCCAGAAAGTTGACAGGATGCAGAATTGGAAGAAAAAAGATTTTGGAATGACTGGTTCCATTGGAGAGTGATTTCTTTGTCTCTCTTGTACATTTACACATGCACTTAGACAAAAACATTAAATTTTTATATTGTGAAAGATATATTTCAGGATATATTGGAGACAGGCATTTCTTTTTTATTATAAGAAAATGAATAGCCCTCTAATCCATAAATTCAATGAACATGTCATTGATCCAAAATTTTGAAAACATTTCTTCACATTGTACTCAGTAACACAATTGTTACTTTACATTTACTTATCCACTCCCCACCTCACTCTTCTCTAAAAAAAAAAAAAAAAAAAAAAAAAGAAAAGAAAAAGAAAAAAGGCAAGAAATGTACAACTTCTGTAACTTCGTAGTTGTCTGTGGTTCACTGAGATGCCTCAGTGCAAAATTCTGGTAACTTCCTCACAGCTCTGTTGCAGATTCCTTTCCTGTAGCTTGAGAAACTCTCAAGCATTATCTACGATGCTAACTATAGGCTTGTGCCCTGTGGACAAGAGAAAAATGTTCAAAACAGTTCATGTGAAATCTTCTTAATAGCATTCCTTACCAAATCAAGCAACAATAAAAACAGAATAAAAACCTTGTTATAATGCTTTACTTGAGATCCATCTTAGCCACAATTCTATTATCTGGAAGCAATCATTTCATTGATTCATGAGCATTTACCAACCATTTATTAATTGTCTAACATTCATTCTTTTTTGATTTGTTTGAGAGAAGTTTTTTCTCTAGGGCAAGTGTGCTTACTAGAAAGACAGAGAAGGACAGAGAGAGACAGAAAGTGAGAAATCACCCTCCGGGAGGATGGCCACACTTCAATCCCTCATCCTCCATTCTTTTCTCGGGATTTTGAGCATGTATGCACATGCACCCAGTGTGTTTTAAACTTCTGGGTCTGGGACTTGAACTTCGGTTGGCCATGTGAGAGTCCAGCAATAACCATTATGCCATTTGCTGGTTGCAATTAATATACTTTAGATATCATATTAGTCCCAGTAGGAAGACTTAGAGAAAAAATGGAATGTATCAGCTGTAGTCTACCAGTACTGTACAGCAGAACGTTCTGTGATGAGGGGCTAGATCTGTATCTGTGCTGCCTGACTCAGTAATCACTAGCTGCATGTGCCTATTAAATTCTTGATAAGTGGCTAGTGTGGCTGTGGACCTGAATTGTTAATTTTTTAAACAAAAGCTTTATTGAGATATAATTTGCATAACATGGAATTCAGTCATTGAAAGTGCACAATTCAGTGCTCGTTAGTATATTCAGAGTTGTGCAGTTGTTACCACAGTCAAATTTAGAACATTCTTCTTACCCTCATAAGAAACCCAGCACTCGTTAGCAGTCACTGCCCGTTCCCTAGACTGAGGCGACCGTTACTATTTTTCCTGTCTCCATGAATTTTCCTGTTTTGGACATTTCATATGAATGGAATCACAATATGTGGTATTTTGTGACTGGGTAATTAAATTTTAGTTTATTTAAGTTTAAGAACCACATGTGGCTAGTGGTTGCTATAAGAAAGCAAGTGGGGTGAAAGCCAAAAGACAGATGCTCAAGGAATACTGAAGCCTAAAGAGAAGATCCTGCAAAAGAGTCATGTGGAAAAACAGGCCAGAGAGATAAGAGATGACTCTGGATAGAGCCTGTACATAAGACAGGTTCCTGACAAAGTGAACCAAATGATACAGAGGGGATAGTGACTGAGTAGCCGTCCCATGGCAATGAGCACTATAACATGGTGCTGGTGAGGCAGTGTAGGCAGGTGGCACTTCTGTGTTAATTAGAGAAGGAGGAAAGGAACAAAAATTTAAAATAGCTTGAGAGAAGTGTCAGGATTGACTTTTTTTTTCACAATAGGGCACAAGTACTTGCTGGAGAGAGACAGTGGTGGGGTGTAGGGAGGGTGAGATAACCACGCCGAAATCCCTTCTTCGTTCTCCTTTCTGAATTTTGGGCATGCACGCACATATGCCAGGCATGATTTTCTTTTCTTTTAGACATTTTTGCTATAGGGCACATACACTCATCAGAGAGACAGAAAGTGAGAAATCACCAGGGGGGATGACCATTCCACAATACCTCCTTCTTCATTATTCTCCTGGGATTTTGAGCACGCACACGTGTGCCCAGTGTGTTTTAAGATGCTGGATCCAGGACTCAAGCTGTGATCAACTCTGTGGGAGTCCGGCAATGTAATCATTAAACACTTTGCTGGTCCCACTCTGGCATGATTTTCAAGCTGCTGGGTCCGGGACTTGAACTGATGTTAACCATGTGGAAATCCAGTGTGTTAACCACCATGCTATGTGCTGGTCTCAGGACTGATTTTGTTTGCTTGTTGTTAATGATATTTTCAGTGGAGGAACAAGTCTGTGTGTAGACAGAAGAGAAAGATTCAGGGGAAATGAAGGTATTAAAGATGACCGAGTAGGTCCTGGAGGATGTGGGCCAAAGTAGCACCAAGGTGATAAGCAGACATACTCCCATAAGCCCTGCTAAGGAAGACGGAAGTCATTTCAGAGGCAGGAGTAAATGAACAAAAATTAGGTAAAGATTCAGAGTAATTTTTATATAGAAAAAAGGTAAATCTCATTGATTTTTGGGAAATTGGAATAAGGCCTTCCAAGGATTAGTCTTGGTTCCTCCAACTGCACTGTGATTGTGTGTGGAGAAGGAAGTACTAAGTCCTCCAGGTGGTAAATTAATCGCTGGCAGGTCTGTTGCTGTCCAGGTGAACCTGTCTCCAAAATGGGGCAGACATGGTCCATAGAGCTACGTGAGGTACAGAAAGATCCTGATGGGTCAGTTTTCACTTCTAAAAAATGAAAATTGCCCCAAATTTACATGTGAGATCTTTAAAGAATTGTGGCTTCATCAGCTCACTCACCCTCCTCTCCCTCTTATTCTTCTTTCTTTACCTCCCCCCTCTATACTTTGCACCTTTTTTTTTTTCCCATTTATTCTTTTTTTGGTGGGTTTGTAACCTAGTTCTTTATTTTCCATAGGACATAAAAATAAATACATAAAATAATCATTTAATCTATATATCTGGGGACACAATATATAAAGATTTACTTTGATGTATCATTAATATAAAAGGGGCTACAAAGAGGTATATAAACTTTCTTTGTTTTTGTTTTCACATCTAATTATTGTACGTCTTTACAGTATATGATATGGGTTCTCAAAGCATAAATGCATTTCATGTCAGACTAGTCAAAGATATTACCATACACAATAACTTTCTATTCCTGTGCTTTTTTTAAAAATTTATCAGAAAACAGTATTTTTTGCTCTACAACATTTGTCCTACCTACAAAGAAAAATGGAAACAAATAAAACATAAAATTTTGATAAATTCATCACTAAGCTGTACTACAATAAATATAGAATTTTGTGTAGATAAAATATTCTTTTTTTTTTTTTTTTTTTGCCATAGGGCACATGTACTCATCAGAGAGAGTGAAAATGATAAATCACCCCCCAGGAGGGTGGCCATGCCACAATCCCTTCTCCATTTTCCTCTCGGGAGTTTGGGCATGGGCTCATCTACTCCTGCTGTGATTTTTCCAACTGTTGGGCCTAGGATTTGAACTATGGTTGGTCATGTGAGAATCTAGCACCTTAAACACACACTACCTTCTCGTCTGCTGAGCCATTTTTAAAAAATATTGTAACAGTGGAAGAGTTAGGAAATGCTTTGAAAATCCTAAATGAAAACAACTACTCAAACATAGGAGAAAAGTATAATTAATACTATAAATTAGTAACATTGTATAGAATGAGTTTTCTATGTAGATGTTTTGGATATTAAAGCCAACTTTTGTGGTCTTCTCAACATATGAAACATATTTACATATGTATTTATTTATTTTAGGCTTTTAAAACCAAGGACGGCTATCTTGTAGTTGGAGCAGGAAATAACCAACAGTTTGCTACTGTGTGCAAGGTAATCTATACTCATTGAATGAGGGGATGCTACATGGATTGATTCACTTACTAGAAAGCCAAGGAAGATTCAGTTTTGCCTAGAATAATGATGCTAAGTCCATAGTCAACTCAGGACTCCTTTAAAAAAAGCACATTGGATAATTTGTAATAATTTTATATTATAGATAGTCTAAATTTTAGGATTGTCTAGACTTTCGTTTTACTTGATATTTTTAGTTTCTATCTAGACTTTTGGTCTTCTTTTTTTTTTTTTTTTTTAAATTTAAGGCCTTTTTACAGTTTTAATCCAAAAATAAAATTTAGTTTTTTAAACATAGTTTTATTAATAGTCTTTTAATAATAGTTTTTATTTTTATCTTTATTTTTCTTACATGTTGGCAAAATCCTAACCTACGGAGGACTCTTTCTGACTGGGAGATTAGTTTTTGTACTAACTATATTATTTTTTTTTCTTTTCTTTTGAGAGTTTTTTTTTGCTCTCACCAGAGAGACAGAGAGACAGAAAATGAGAAATCACACCCTAGGGGGGATGGCCATGCCGCAATCCCTTCTCCTCCATTTCTCTTGGAATCTTTGGCACGCATGCGCATGCACCTGGTGTGAGTTTAAGCCACCAGGTCTGGGGCTTGAACCGCAGTCGACTACATGGGAGTTCAGTGACATAGCCATTACGTCAGCTGCTGGTCCCATACTAACTATAATATTATGAGCTTTCAGTTTTATTAAAGATGCCTGCGGATTTTCTAGATCAGACTTATTTATTGTAGTTACCTTATTATGTAGAAAAATTATTTATTACCGTTCCTCTTTTGTATGAGAGGTTAACGAGAAGAGCTAAAAACCACAGCAAAGGAGTGGGAAGTTCCACGGGAAGGTGACAAATGGAGATAGTTCTGACTGCTGGAAGGGCTGGCACATCGGAGGTGGGAAAGAAGGGAGCTTTTATAATGGTGACTCTGAGTAAGTGTAGAGAAAATTGACTCCAACATTTGATCTGGGATCAAAGAATCTTTATTATGAACGGTCAATGTTAAAAATATGAAACATACGGAAGCCGTTGCCTGTGAAGTCATTTGCGTAGTCTAAGTGCAGAGATGTAAAATCCAGTTCATTGCTATAAACGAGTACAGATTTTCCTCCTGGGCCATATGTTTTGGAGTTTTTTGTCTCCAGAAAGGAGGGCAAGAGAGGCAGAATTACTGGTTGACGTATTCTTCACTGTTGAAAATAACTGCACTGAATCCTTTTTATTCTTGATTCATTACTGTTGATCAATGGGGAACTTTTGAACTTCTTCATAAATATCCATAAGAATACTTTTTGAGAAAGATGTTTATTTCAAAGCAGAATATTTGCCATAAGTTTTAGTACTAAATTATGACTTTGTTATGGAGACATTTTTAAAAGAATATCAGAGGGTCTTTGAAAATGCTGTGCTTGACCTTGATTTGCACAAATGTGAATCAGGAATGACAATGCCCACAGTGGACCCTGAATATCTATAAAACTCTTTGCAATCCTTGGAAGAAAAATTCATGCAGAATTATGTGTTATTTGTATTATTGAGTAGGCATCCTGAGTGAATGTGTCTTTTCCTGTTTTCATAATTACATATTTATGTATAAAATGTCCTAAAAACATTTTCACCGAAGAAAAATCTGTTCCCTTATACTGATGATGCAAGTTCTCCTGCCTTCCACATGATATATAGTAAGAAAGTTTCTTCTAAATAGTTTTTACTCAGATTTACCCTTGATAAAGGGGCTCATTGTTCAAATTGGCCCTATAGAAAATGAGGTCCCAGGTTTCAGAGTAAGCCCATCGAAGTGTTTCTTTGGCAGATAAAGTCCATTGGAAAAGGTGGGACAGCTCACTCCCTGGGGAGAAATGTAGCAGTGTTTTCTGTGATGAAAGGGTGGAAATGACTTATGCTCAGTTCTTTCCAAAATGATATATTGGTTAACCAAAGCATCTCAGGGAGAGGCCTGTTTAGGGAGCTCTCATTGTCAGGGGTTGGAGTGGGAGCAAGACTGTCAGGTTCAAGGGTTGGGGTTCAGGAAAAAAATCTTACATATAAAGTAAACCTTGGCTTATAACGAATCCTATTTTATGTCCCTTAACATGATACAGAACAGCAGAGAAAGTGAGCATATGTAAGCTATTTTAAGCTGATTGATGCCAACATTAATGGATATTATTATTTGAAGTATATTGACATTCTTTTTAAAGTCATTTAGGCTGAAGGCTTCTTTTATTGGAAGCAATATGCATTGGTTCTCAACTTTAGTGTATGTGGTATTTTCCTTGAGTGCCATTCCCAAAGATGTTGATTTAGTTTCTCTGGTGTGGTGCACAGGAAATGTCAATTATAATGAGCACTACAAAGTTGACTTTGTGCAGGTGGACTGAGGACATTATAGAACAGTTCTTAAGGCCTCTATGAATCTTGTCACTAGTCAGGTGACCTCTACAAGGTATTTAGTCTTTTGTAAGCATCTGTTTCCTCATGTATAAAATAAAGATTATAGTATCTAAGTACAGTAATATATAACTTGTGGGGCTTTATAAGGGTTAGAGAATTAAATCACTTAGTGTAGTCTTGGCCTGTAGTATGCATAATACATCGTCTCTATAAAAGTCAGGTGTGTATGACCCAGCTGCTGTGGCTCAGGTAGTGGGATGCTGCTGTGTGATACTGAAGGCATATGAGAAGACCCAGGGTTCAGACTCACGCTGACTGACTAGAAGGCTGTGGGGAGGATCACAGCATGAAAAGACCCTTCCAGGTGTCCCTCTCTCTCTCTCTCTTTCTCTTTCTCATGAGATAAATAAAGAAATGAAAGAAAAAAAAAGATTAGGTGTGAAAATTCTGGTTCTGAGGAGGATAGTATAAATACATTGCACACAGTGATAAGACCTGTAAGTGTAGGCAGGTCCCCAGGAAACTAGAAAGAGCTGGAGAGATTGCAGAGAGGTATGAGCTTTGCAAAGCATTCTTGAAGTTATTTATGAACTCCTGGGTTCACCTCTGAGCTGCACATGCCCTGGTCTGATCCAAACATACTAAAGATGTTGAGAATTGAATTAATGAATAGATGACTGCCCAGATTGTAGTATGACCACTAAGTGGGGCACATGCGGGACAGATTCAAATTGCACTACAAAGGCTTTGAAAGCTGGACCAGCATTAGAGTCAAAGCACACAGAAGGTGGGTTGGAATTTGAAACTTGAACCGAACCAGCTCAATTGCTTGCTAAAAACAACAACAACAAAAATTCTCTGTAGGATCTAAACAAGACCCAGAGGCTCATAATATAATATTCAGAATGTCCAGGATATAATCCAAAATTACTCAGCATATGAAGAACCAGACTTGCATGAGAAAAGACAATCAATAAATGCCAATGCCAAGACAGCACAGATGTTAGGATGAACTCACGAAGGCTTTAAAACAGCTATTACAGAGTGCTTTAACAAGAGTCATAGACAGGGTTGAAATGGGAAAGTAGAAATGCTCAGCAAAGAAATAGAAGATATGAAGAACCAAATGAAAACTGTAGAACTAAAAATACAATAATCAAGAAAAAAACACACCTCACTGGATGAGCTTAGTAGCATAATGGTGATAAGAGAAAACAAAAAAGGTGAAGACAGATCAATAGCAATTCATTCTCAACAACAGAAAGAAAGAAAGAAAAAGGCCCCCTCCTGTTCACAAAAAAGAAAGTAAGAAAAAAAGAACAGGTCCTCAGGGTCTTATGGGGCAGTAACAGAAACATATCCAATATTATCATTGTAGTCCTGGAAAGAGAAGAGTACATGCTGAAAAAAAATATTTTAAGAACTAATAGCTAAAAACTTCCCAAATTTAGTGAAAGAAAAAATATAGATTTAATAATGCCAGCAACCCCCAGATGGATAAAACAAAAAAAAAAATTCCAGTATGTAAGTATATATAAATATATATAAGTATATATAAGAATATAACTGCTAAAATTAAAGACTGACAATAAAGTCTTGAAAGCAGAGAAAAATGATATACATATGGGGAATAATGACTCAACTGATTTTAGATTTCTTGTCAGAAGCTACAGTCACTGGGGCCAGCAGGCATGGAGTGGTTAAGGTGCTGCACTCACACATGGCAGACTGGGGTTTGAGTCACAGACCCAGTGGCTTGAAAATCACGCTGAGTGCATGCCCAAAATCCCAGGAGGAGAATGGAGGAGAAGGGATTGTGGCATGGCCATGCCTCCTAGGGGGTGATTTCTCAATTTCATTCTCATTATCTCACTCTAGTGAGGGCATACGCCCTATGACAAAACAACAACAACAAACCCAGAAATTACAATCAGAAAGAAGTGGCATGACAGTCTAAAAGTTGAACAAGAACTGTCAATCAAGATTTCAATATCCAGGGGAGGGACCAGCAGTTAGTGTAATGGCTATGTCTCTGGACTTTCATGTAGTAAACCGTGGTTTGAGTCCTGGACCTGGTGACTTAAACTCACGCCAGACGCGTGTGTGTGTGCATGCCCAATATCCCAAGAGGAGAATGGAGAAGAAGAGATTGCGGCGTGGCCATGCCCCCCAGGGGGTGATTTCTCACTTTCTGTCTCTTTGTCTGTCTTTCTGGCGAGTGCACGTACCCTATGGCAAAAAAAACCTCTCAAAAAAAAAATATATATATATATATCCAGGAGACATAGCCTTAAGAAATGAAGGCTAAATAGAGACATTCCCATATGAGAATTTGCAGCGAGCTACCTGTTCTAAAAGATGTTTTCATGGGACCAGCAGTTGGCGTAATGGCTCTGTCATTGGACTCCCATGTAGTCGACCATGTTTTGAGGCCCAGACCCGGTGGCTTAAACTCATGCCAGGCAAGTATGCGTGTGTGCCCAAGATCCCTGGAGGATAATGGAGGAGAAGGGATGGCGACGTGGCCATCCCTCCTGGGGGGTGATTTCTCGCTTTCTGTCTCTCTATCTCTGTCTCTCTCTGTCTTTCTGGTGAGCACATGTACCCTATAGCAAAAACCTCTCCAAAAAAAAAAGATGTTTTCATAATTTGCAGGAGGACATGTGCAGTTTCCAGAGAGAGATGAGCTATAGCAGAGGTCAGGGTGAAAGTACCCCCCCATCTCCTTGGCACATGGTCACACTGTGATCCCTTGTCCCCCATCTCTCCCTCCTTTGGGGATTTTTGAGCATGCACACACATGCACCTGGCATGTTTCTCAATCAACCAGGTCCGGGATTTGAACCATGTGGTCAGCCATATGGAATCCAGCTGCCTTAGCCACCAGGCCATGAGTTATGTCTCTAAAAGAATTTTTAAAGGAAGTTCTTAATTTACAGAAGACAAATGACATCAGAAGGAAAATGGTAATATCGAGAATGAAGGAATAGCAACAGAAATAGAAAATATGAATTCTTCTAAATAGGTTTGATGGGTGAAAGTAAACATTAAAATATTGAGTCATGATGTTTTTAATGTACATGGACATTATACAACATACAACAAACACGACACTAAAGGGGGAGAGCAAAGGAACTTATATTGTGGTACATTTTCAATCTTCCACTTGAAGTAATAAAATATTAAGAATACCCATTTCTAAAGCAATCTTTAAACATCGATACAAAATAAATAGCCCAAATGAAAATAGACAAATACTAAAGCTTCCAACTCCAAAGAAGGAAAGAAAGGGAAAACAAAGGAACAAATGGAAAAAATAACAAAGCGATGGATCTAAATACTCCAAAAATATCAATAAGACTTTAAATGTGAATGGTCTTAAGTCACCAAAAAGACAGAGGTGGTCAGAAAAGAGGAAATGAATGACCCAACTCTATGCTAAATTCAAGAAAGAGGATGGAATGAAGTGCAAACACAAAACAAGTAAAAGATGCAGTCAAAAGAAAGCTGGAATGGGGCCATATTAACAAGGCACTGATTTTTGTTGTCTTGGAAAAATGACTTGAACAAATCCTTGTGCACGGACTTACCTAGCATTTGTACTGGCAGAGGGAAGACTGAGTGTTTTGAATTTGTTGAGAAATTGGGAAATTTTACATTTTATAAGGGATGTTTACTTTTCTTATATTTAAAAAGTAGATTCCAATGGTTCTGACAGCATAACCCATGGTCTTTTTCTGTGCCTTCCTGAAATACAAAGTCCTTTTGTTACCCGCAAACTAAATCCAGCTGCTTTTACTCAATCAATGAAATGAGGCAGAGGCTGGAGAAGAAGGGAGTTTATTTCTGCAACCAGGTTTCAGGGAGACAGTCAGCAAGTACCACCTAACTGTCTGGAAAAGTTTAACATGGGTTCAATATTTATAGATACCAGATACAAGCACATGCCAATCATTCCTTACTACAATCAATGAAAGTCAATCACTTTCCTTTGAGCAATTTCCATGATTCTTGCTTCACCTAAAATACTCATTCCTCAAACAGCCCTCCCCCATGACTCAGCATTTGGTCAGATTGTTTTTGTCAGAGGCATTTCTTAATTTGAAAATGGCTATAGTACTGCTAAACCTCAATCTTACCTGCTTCACTATTATTTCAGCACTGAATTATAGTGTGATCTATTAGATGATATTTTAAAGGGTATTTGAACGTAACATGTGGTATATGAATAATTCACATCAAGTGATAACAGTGTATGTGAACACTATGCCCTAGAAGCAGTGACAACTATCATAATTTCCTCCTGGCAAACAGCTCCTTTGAGAGGCCATAGATTAAAGGAGCATCTGGAGTCAGCCTGTGGTGTGGTGACTAAGGTGCTGGGCTTCCACATGGCCAATCATGATTTGAATCCCAGACCCAGTGGCTTGAAAATCATGTTTGCACATGTGCATGCATGCCCAAAGTTCCAAGAGGAGAATGGAAGAGAGGGGATTGCAGCATGGCCATCTCCCCCAGGGGGTGATTTCTCACTTTCCCTGTCTTTGCCTCGTTTCAGTAAGCACAGATGACTTATGGCAAAATCCTAACGAAATAAAAAGATAAGGAGCTGGCAGGTGGTGTGGTGGTTAAGAGTGATGGACTCCCACGTGGTCAACCATGGTTCGAGTCCTGGACCTGGTGACTTGCTTTCTCACTTTCTCTGTCTCACTCTGTCCCTCTCCAGTCAAATAAATAAATAAATAAATAAATAAATAAATAAATAAAGTAAATAAAGTTAAATAATTCTAAAAAAATTAAAAAAATAAGAGGAATATATATATTTTAAAATGTAGTTTTAGACTTAATAAAATAGGATTCATACATAGAGTAATATCTAGAAGATCTTATGCCTGCAACAGTTCACATTATTTATGTGTTAGTAAGTCAGTTGGTCGACAAATATGTTATCAGCACGTGGGATATACCAGTAAATAAAACATTGAAAATACCCCAATTTATAGAGCTTATATTATAGAAGGGAGGACAGACAGTAAATAATAAACATGTTAGATGATAAGAGTTATGGGCGGAAAAGGGAAGGGACAAGGGAAGGGACAATCAGGGGAGTTAGGTACTGGGTGGGGTGGGCTGGGCTGGGCTATGGTGGGGTAGGATGGTCAGAGGAGTTTCTCTGAGGAGCTGACCTATGAGCAGACTCATTGAGGAGAGCAGTTAGCCCACTGATATCTTATGTTCCTGGCAAGGGGGTGGCTGGTGCAGAAGTCCAGAGACCCAAGTGTGATAGTCTTGCTCTTGGTTTAGTAAGAAGCCAGCATGGCTGCAACGGTGAGCAGAGAGGGAGAGTATGGCAGGAGGTGATGTCAGAGAGGCAAGGGCCATATCGTGTAGAGTCTATGGAAGCATAAGGATTTGGCTTTGCTGTAAGGGAGGCATTAGATGGTAGGAGTATTAAAACACTTTGCAGTTCTTATTATTGTATCTTTTCATTTTTTTATGGAGGGCTCCCTTTCTTCCTCCTTCCCTTCATATGCTTTCCTATTTCTGTTGGGAGAAACTGTATTTAGTTGGAATACGTTACATTATTTAGTGTTTATTATATCAAGCACTTCCACATACGATGTTTCATTTTTCCTGGGCAGCACTCTTCACAACAACTGCAGAGTGGTTATGATCACAATCTTTGAAACCTTCTCTCTGGAAACACTTTGAATATGAGCTAGCATAGCTAAAGGCAGTGACCTGTTGTTGCATACAAACTTCGAAAGACAAAAGAGGTTCAATATGTCAAATAACAGAGGCCACCTGGCATCCCAGTTTCCTCTGACTGCAGTCACTCTGTAGTCTTTTTTATGTAGGTGATAGCATATTCAGGGTGAGGCCAGATTTATACATTTAACCTGTGATTTAGTAAAGGCACTTGCTTTTTCTTAAAATGACTTATTCCGTCGTAGGGAGGGAGGGTTTCTGACTGTTAGACATGCCTTGAGGCCGATTCTAAGATCAGGTGTGGTGACAGGGAGGTTGCTAGAAAGGCACCGTGTGCAGTGTTGCTTTTTAAAAACTAGAAGAGTCATGTTGTCTTTATTACTCCTAAAGGGAACCAATAAGTAGAACATGTAAAAGAGAAATTACACCATTGAGATGGTCTCTTTACTCTGGGGAATCTTCCGCATTTTCCTCTCCTTTGTGAGATGATTAATGGATTGATTTTATTTAAACTGTGGGAAACAAATGAAACCATTAAATGTTTATATTGAAAGCAAATACATTAATAAAGGCGGTGACGCTTTCTGTGGGCCACATGGCCTGCCCCCAGCCCATAAATGCTCCTCCTGACTTTCCACCACAACTGCCAAACAGCGCTTCCACACATTCTCTTTAACACTGCTTTCCCATTCCAAATCCACTTGGTACTTTCATTATGGTCTTGTTAAAATTGCAAGATGTCCAAAGGGACCTGCGAGATAGATTTCCTCTTTATTGAGGAGGAGCAAAAGAGGAAGTATATAAAAGCAGTTCTAGTCGGTATTCCTTAAGGGAGACATATTAAAGAAAAATAGTGACACTTTTTCAGGAAGAAGATCTTTTAATTTGACATCGTTTTAATGGTGCGCGTTCAGGCAAATGTAGATGCTGACGCTTTATTTTAACACCTTGTACAACATCCTGGATAGGACTACTGGGACAGATGGCACTATTTTATTTACATGTGGAACAAGTAAATGAATGTACTTACAAGATATATGTTGATGTGGGCTTCGTGTAAGTGTAGACATGCACTTATGTCGGTTCTCAGAATTAGGATAATTTTACTTGATTTTGTGTGTCTCTTCCTACTTACTCTAGATAAGACTTTTTTAAAAAAAATATTTTTTTATGGACGCCTGATAACTTTTTTTTCTGTCTTCATGTTTGGCTATAAGACTTATTACGAGGGCCTGATAACTTTTCTGTGTTCCCATATGTAGGCATATATCCTTAAATGTAGTAAAAACCTCTTATAAGTGACAAACCAATTCAGCAGCAGGGTCCATCCTAATCGTATGACAGTGCCTTCCATATCCTTCTGTTGAGAGGAATAAACACCAGCAAAGAGTGTGCTTGGGAATGGAGTGACAGGTTCTGAACACTAGCACGTATGAGAAGATGCCTGAAAAACTTGTGCATTATACTTAAAATTATTTTTCCCTTTCAGATCTTGAATTTGCCTGAGTTGATTGATGACTCCAAGTATAAAACTAATCACCTTCGAGTGAAAAATAGGAAAGGCCTTATTAAAATGCTATCTGCACGGTAAGCTTATGTCTAGTATTCATACATTTAAGAATTAATATGTGAGAAGCATTTGCCTGATGTGGTTTTTTGCAGAGCTCATTTAGAGCAACTGGTAATTCTCTTTATTTCACAAAATCGGTGAGTGGAAAGATGTTTTAAAGCCATGTCTTTTTGTTGTTGTTCAAAAGCATTTGAAAATATTTTATATGTTTTATTAAGTAGTGAGTCATGACAATGCTATAAATAAGAAAGTCCCAATAACTTGAATTAGGTTGCTTCTCTGGGGCCTGAACTAATTGGAGTAGTATATCATAAACAGCGATAACAGTAACATTAATAATAGCAATTTAACATCTTGTGCTTTTACTGTATTAAATGTTCTATATACATTATTGTGTTTAACTCTTATAATCATCCTATAAGTTCTGTTATTCCCATTTTACAGATATGAAAACTAAGGCAAAGGGAGGTACAATCAAGAGTTTATTGGCTTTTCTGAGCCTTACTCTTAATTGCGATAATGATTCTGGGACATTGAAGATGACAGATTGAGTTCTGTGTCATACAAGATTAATGTTAATTACTATATTTTTCACTTCCCATGTATTTCATTCATGTCAGGCTTAACCTGGTAAAACCTTGAGCAGTTTTTTATGTTTAAAAAAAGTACTATTTCTGGACCAGCAGTTAGTGTAATGGCTATGCCACTGAACTCCCATGTAACCGACTGCGATTCGAGTCCTGAACCTGTTGGTTAAACTCACACCGGGCGCGTGTGCATGCGTGCCCAAGATCCTGAGAGGAGAGTGGAGGAGAAGGGATTGCGGCGTGGCCATCTCCTCTGGGGGGTGATTTCTAGCTTTCTGTCTCTCTGTCTCTCTGATGAGTGCATGCGCCCTATAGCAAAAACCTCTCTCTCTCAAAAAAAGTACTATTTCTTACTCTTTCTTTTTACTATTTTTTTTTGTGGCTTTCTTTCTTTTTTTCTTTAATTTATATTTTATCATGTGTTTACAGCATACGTTTCTTTTTCAACACAAATACCATACATCTCAGTCAAGACAAGGATATTACTATATATATTATCATCAGCAAATAACTTCTCATTTTTTTGTCAATTAAGCATACTGTTACCTGTTTTTTCCTTCCCATTTCCCTTCCCTCCCTACCATACTAAACTTGTGGGTTTTTTTTTTTTTTGTTTGTTTGTTTACATTTTATTGATTCACAAAAAATCTTATATGGACAAAGCTAGAATCTAGTAACAAGTGCACTGTAATTTTCTTCTGAAACATTTTCTCTCTCTCCATTCCCCCTTTTACTAAAGAGATGCCTAAACTAACTTATTTGCAAAAAAAAAAAAATGATGTTAATCTCAATTTGGTCTGTTATTTGCACAAAATCCCATAAGAATTCAATTTCTGATGCAAGGCAACATATACTATTGTATTATTGAAATTATGCAAATAACTATTCTGTCACAAAATAAGAATGCTCAAAAATATTTTCTAATTGCAATGGGGTCAGGAAGGGAGAAAAAGTTTATGTTTCAATTTAAAAATTCATTTTTTAACAAATTGCTGAACCCAGCAACTCAAAAGAAAACAAAAATCCTTAAATCTGGAAGACAAAGCATAGAAGAAAATCAGTAATGTTTTAGAGAAAAGTCATAGAATTCTATTTCACCAGTTCAGTCTCATGTAAACTCTCTTGTGTTGTATTTGCAGTATTACTGTGGTCTGACCTTTCTGTTAGCATTCAGCATTATTATTGACATTTCAGAACCCATCCCTACCATTAAGTTGGCCTTTCTGTTGGTCATTTTTTGTTCTCTGATTTGTCTGTCTGTCTTTAGTCTTCCTGGTATAGTACTCCCTTCAGAACTTCTCAAAGAGCTGGTCTGGTGTTGGTAAATTCTTTCAGGTTTTGTTTATCTGAGAATGTTTTATCCTTTTTTCCCACATGAAGGATAATCTTGCTGGATACAGTATTTTTGATTAAAATTGTTTTTCATTTAACACTTTGAATATATTTTCCATTCTTTCCTTGCTTGCATTGTTCGAATGAGAGGTCCAATGTTAGCCTGATGGGACATCCTTTGAAAGTAACTTGATGTTTTTCTCTTACCAATTTTAGTATCTTATCTCTGTCTATGGTTTTGGTCAATCTGGCTATGACATGCCTTGGAGAAGACCTTCTTCAGTTGATTCCATGTGGGGTACTTAATATTTCCTGGATCTGGATATTTGGATGCCTCTCTATGTTTGGAAAGTTTTCTTTCAGAATTTCATGGAATAGATTATCAATGCCCTGATTAGTTTCTTCACTTTCTGGGATGTCAATTATCTGGATGTTTGGGCATCTAATAGTATCTAGTATTACTTGTATAGTATTCTCTCTTTTTCTTTTTTAGTTTTTTTTTTTAACATTTATTTATTTATTATCATCACAATCTTGTTTATATTACATTGAATCACATGTAACTTTACAATATATTACATTTATTTTTCCAGAAGGAATACCATGCATATCAGTCAATACAGAGACATTAAAATCCCCATTTTATCATCCAATAGCTTTTCATTATTTTTTCTGATTATTATTATTCCAATTAATTTTTTAAACAGTCAATCACTATTTCTCATTTTGCTTATAAAAAGACTTTACCCCTTGGGACCAGCAGTTGGCATAAATGGCTATGTCGCTGGACTCCCATGTTGTTAACCGTGGTTCGAATACTGGACCCAGTGGCTTAAACTCATGCTGGGCGTGTGTGCATGCGTGCCCAAGATACTGAGAGGAGAATGGAGGAGAAGGGATTGCGGTGTGGCCATCCCCCCTGAGGAGTGATTTCTCGCTTTCTGTCTCTCTGTCTCTCTCTGTCTTTCTGGTGAGCGCACGTGCCCTATAGCAAAAACCTTTCCCAAAAAAAGACTTTACCCAACATGAAATACTTCTCAGACCAATTCAGTTGAGAATACTACACACGTATATCATCATCAACAGGTAATAAACCATATCTGTGTCCTACTAATGTCATGCTTCTCTATTTGTTCTCTTGGTATCTTTCTCTATACTATTCTCTTCTCCTGCCCCATTCCACACTGTCTTATCCTTGTTAACTATTTTCACTGCTTTTATGTACTCCAATATTTTGATCTCTACCATAGAGTACGGATAGTCGGTATATATTAAGTGGAGACATATAATATCTTTCTTTCATATCTTGGCTTACTTCACTCAGCAATAGATCCTCCTTATCTGACCACTTGCTATCAAATGCCAGGGTCTTATTTTTAATGGCTGAGTAGTTTTCCATAGAGTATATATGCCTTACTTTTTCAGTCTATTCATCTGTTTGTGGACATTGGGTTGGTTCCATGTCTTGGTGATCGTGAATAATGCTGCAATAAACATTGATGTGCAAGGACTTTTCCAACTGAACATTCTCCTGTCCTTTGGGTAAATACTCAGAAGTGGGATTGCTGGATTTAATGATAGTTCTGTTTGTAGATCTTTGAGGAACCTCCATATTGTTCTCCACAGTGGCTGAACCAGTTTACATTCCCACCAACAGTGTAGGAAAGTTCTCTTTTCACCACATCCCCACCAACACTTACCACTTTTTATATTTTTAATCTTTGCCATTCTGACAGGGGTTAGGTGGTATCTCATTGTGGTTTTTATCTGCCTCTCCCTTATGATGAGTGATATTGAACATTTCCTCATATGCTTTTTGGCTGTTTGTATGTCTTCCTTAGAGAGATTTTTGTTCAGCTCATTTTCCCATCTTTTAATTGGGTTAATCTTGTGTGTGTGTGTGTGTGTGTGTGTGTGTGTGTAAGGCGCTTGAGATCCCTTTTTTGGTTATTTTCTCAGTCTTTTTGTTAAATTTTTCTAGGTCAGATGTTTTATCTTCTACATCTGAGATTCTATCTTCTGTGTGATCTAATCTGCTTTTAATACTTTTAAGGGAGTTTTTGATTTCCTGTATTATAGCCTTCATCTCTAACAGTTCTGTTTGATTCTTTTTATGGTGTGTATTTTCTCTTTCATATACTCTCTTCCTGGACCTTGTTGTTTCATTTCTCCTGCATTTTCTACAGTTCGTTTTCTCTCTTCTCTTGCATCTCTTTTAGCTTTGTCAGTATGAATATCCTCAATTCTTTATCTAACATTTCCATGAGTACCACTGTATTGTCTGCGGATGATGAAGGGCTGTTTTTTCCCTTTGGGGGAGAGATATTTTCTTAATTTCCCATATTTCTTGTGCCTCTGTGGTGGTGGTTTCTATTCATCTGATGGGCTATACATTACTTTCTACCTTCTTAGAGTTAATTCTGAGTGTCAGAGGCGTGTGGAAGGAGATGGTCTGCAATTTTTTTGCAGTTCTGTTTCCCTGATTTTCACTAAGCAACCTGCACCTTTGTCAGTGGAACTGGATATTGCAAAGGTGTCACAGTTTCGAGAGAATAGGGGCATCTGGGCTGAGCTGCAGGGTTTAAAGTATTTGGATGTTTCCCTACTGTGCCTAGACCTGCCCAGACACTCAATGTATGGAAGGTGAGAAGCAAGGTGAGAAACTCAGGTAAAAGGAAGGGAAAAATAGAAAAAAAACCCCAAAACAATGAAAAGGTAAAACAAATTTTTTGTTAAAAAAAGGCAAAAAAAGGAGAACCACACAGCTCTCTAGAGTGCCCCCTTTGGGCAGGGCGAGGACCACCTCAGATGCACATGGATTCTGAAATTACCAAGAGAAAGGAGAGGTCAGAGACAAGAAACTGTACCTACAGATTTAAAAAAAAAAACATATATATGAGAGAAAAATCTCGAGAGAAAGAGAGGGGAGAGACAAAGACAAGGACAGAAAGAAGATAGAGACCATCCTACCTGGCTTTTCTCTGGGTGTTGGGCCAGAAGGAAGGGTTTGGGGCAGAGGCTTTTTCTGGTTAAAGGGGCAGGGCTAGGCCCACCTCAGATGCACATGGATTCTGACTTTTCGCTGGGTGTTAGGCCAG